CCATGTTCCTCTTTTTGGGTCTGGCTTACCTCACTCAGGATGGTGTTTTCTATTTCCATCCATTTGCCTGCAAACTTCAAGAAGTCCTTGTTTTTTACTGCTGAGTAGTACTCTAATATGTATATATTCCATACTTTCTTCATCCATTCTTCAATTGAAGGGCATCTAGGTTCGTAAAACGTGTTTAAAACCAGCAAACCACATGAGCAGTTCCGTCCTGCTTTGATGGGAGGGTGGCTTGGATGCTGAGGGAGCAAGGTCCTGATCCATTTACACTCTAGAATGCTGAACACAGACCCCCGTGACGTAAAGAAATAGAAAGGAGCAGGATGGGGAGGAGGAAGGCAGCAGGATCTGGCCTGTGTGCTGAGGGGAGGGTGGGTGTGTGTATGAAGAAGGAAGGGAAGCTCCAAGGTGACTGCATGTGTTGGCTGTGTTCCTCCCTGGGGTTCCTGTTGCACTGCACTCAGGAGCAAGAGAGTGAGCTCCAGGCTTGGAGCCTGCATGAGCTGCTCTGCCATCTGAAGATGCTCCATGATCCAAGCTAGGCTTGACTTGCCATCTTTATCAAAGCAAATGCTTTATTGGCAGTCACGAGAGATCTGACATTGCTGAATTTAGAGTTGCTACAGAGGAGCTGAGAACTGGTCCCCGTGTCTCCCAAGCTGGATTAGCAGTGTGTGGAGTCAAAGCTGCCATCTAGTTCCAGGAATTGTATTAGGCACTTCCTCATAACCCAGGAGGTGAGGAAACAGAAAGGTGGCTTGTCCCAATCCATGTTCTAAGACCAACCGGAGTGACTGACAGGGATCTCTGGTTGTGGCATGGAAGCTGGATCCGCCACCTCCATCACCCATGCCCTCCTGGCTTAGTTCTGACACTGTTCAGAAGCCCTTCTGCAAGCATTATTCTCTTAGTGCCAGACACTTAGGTGAGCGCTCGGGAGACTGGGATACCATCCTTCCCCCCAAGGAAGGACATCTCTAACTGGCTGAATAAAGATCTGTAGCCATGGAGACCACAACCATGGAAGGGCATCACCGCAGAGAATTTGAGGGAGTGACAGAACATGAAGCTGGAGAGATAGGGAACGGGGTGGGGTGGGGTACCTGGCCTGCTGGGATGTTAACATGGGGGTTGGTGGGAAGTTGGGAGGAACTTGAACAACAAAGCCTGGCAGTTTGGCTTCACACTGGAGGGGTCACACTGCTAGCCCTGTAGCCGTGAAGACAGTAGACTGGATGAGAATGAGTACAGTATTGTCTCAAGCATGTGCATGAGAAGCCAAAGCAAGACGGGCATGTGTGAGAGCAGTGGTCCCCTTCACGCTTCCCCGTGTTTGAGCCTCTCATCTGCCCTTAACCTGGGCCGTCGTTGCGTATCAAAATCACTTGAGAGGTTTTGTAAACATACAGACTTCTTCCAGAACCCCTGCTGATAAACTGTGATGGGTCAGTCTGGTTTAAACCTGATGACCAGTATCCTTGTAAAAAGTGAGTCTCGGTCCATCACTGTGTGCTGTCACAGTTTGGTAAGGGATCATGAACTCCCCACATCCGCAGAGGCCAGGAACAATATATATGGCATTGGTAAAATGGGAGAATATTTGTACTACTTGATGGTAGGTCCAATAAAACACAGCCCTAGCCAACTGAAGAGAGTGACTGACGGTTTGGGCCCTGCCCTTTGACAGGATGGATATGTCCTCCCTCCAGGCATGCCTGGTGGTGTTCTTGCCATAGACAGTGAGCATGCAGCTGCGGTGGTCCTTGCCTAGTGGATTCTTTAGCAGTGTGCAGAGTCCACAGTTGCCCTTTGTTTTTCAGGTAGGGACGACCAGGGTGCATACACTGCTGGAAAGCGGTGCCAGAACTTAGAATTGACAGAGATGTTGACATCACCCTTGTAAGATAGTCACCATGAGCCATGGGTTCCCAAGGAAGGTGCCTGTCATGGTGTAGTTCTGGCCACAGCACCATGGATCAGAAAGCAGGGTGCATTGTGCCAGCCCTGCTGATAGGATTTCAGCTTGGGGCTCAGGTCCTCACTGCATAGGATGGAAAGCGGTGAGTTACCCTCATGTTAGAGCTCAAAAGATACCCAGGAAGACGTGATATTCTCAGATGTTAGCAATGATGGGAGCCTCAACTGTGTACTCTTCTTTGCCCCCCCCCCTTCCTTCTCTGAAACAGTCTCACTATTATACAATCTTGTGTAGACCAGGTTGGCCTCAAACTTGTCTCCCACGTGCTGGAACCGAAAGTGAGTCCACAGGTGCACAGTTCTCAAGGACTCTTGTGCACTCACAGTGCCCCTCCCTGCTCCAGGGTTTGACTAGCCAAAGAAGTTTCACAGGCTTTTATGTTTTCCCAGACTCAGGGAGTCTAGACGCCTTCTCCGTACCCACTTCTTGGATCCTGGTATTCTCAGCTCTTTACCCTGGCATGGAACTCTTCCTCCACACTTCCCCTATGTCAGGTGAGCTTGTAGATTGTCCTATGCTCCATTTACCCTCAGTTCCAGCTTCCTGGTGTTATCTCTATCCCTTTGGACTCCACCACCGTTTTCCAGAGTCCCAGCCTTCACCTCTACCCCGCCCGCTCTTTATAGCAGGCTTCCAATTGGCTCTGTAATCTTCCTCTCCCTCACTATTATTATCTGGGCCCCTAAGGGCACCTTCCCACTTCCGTACCAGCCACACCGCTGAAAGAACCCACAAGATAATATCTCTGCTGACTTTCTCTAAGAGCTGTAAGTGATAACCGATCTTAACTCTTGATTCTTGGGTCTTGATCTTAATTCTTGGGTACCCTTTAGTGACCCTATCTATAGTCCTCTTCACTATGAGGACTTCCTGAGCAAGCCTCCAGTCTGGTATTCACGCTGGTCCTTATTGACAAGCCAGGTATCCTTGGCGTGCAGTGGGTCCCTCTCACCCATCTGTTTCATTTGGAGCCTCCAGTCTGCAGGAGCATTTCTTGCCATGTCACCATGCACTTGCTGCTGAAGACACACTTAGCTGCAGTGAACCAGGTGGGGGCTCCCTTTATTCCTCTTTAGGTGACATAGTGGGCATCACCATCTTCCTGGACATCAGGATTATGGTTCCAGGTCAAAGTCATTGTGTTGGGAGCCTCTTCAAACAGCCGCAGGATTGCAGGAGGTCTGTCTGCAGAAACCTGGAAGAACTGGAGGCCTTTTAGCTAACCTGGGGAGAGTTGTGCCTTCACTCTAGCCTGTTAGAAGGTGGAACCACACACTTTCCTTCTTTGACTAGTAGGCACAGATAACCTGGAGTTAGAAAAGTCTGTTTGTGAAGTGTCACCTTGCCATTTACTAGCTTGTGATCTTTGGCAAGTGACATCTCTTTTATAATACCATTGCCTCATTTGCAAAAGTAAGACTAACAATGGCTGCTTATTTCACAGGACTAAGACATAAGGTGGCCACCATATAGTTAATAGCCAATAAAGGTTCATCTTTTTTTTTTTTTTTTTTTTTGTTCTTGGGGCCGTTTAAAGCTTCCAGTCCTCTGTTAAGAGTTCACTCCAATTTTTGGTAGATTCCTCTGCATTGGTAGTTCTTACCCTTCACCCCATCTCCACTTCTTTCCCTGTAGATTGTACTCTGTTTATGCCTCATATCTCAACAGATATGACCAACCACAGAATCTGAAACAAGGGCTGTGCCGTAGGTCAATGTCTCCAGGGCTTCAGGACTCTGAGATAAAAGGGGGGAAAACCCAACCCCCAAATCAAACCAAACAAAACAACAAACAACAAATCTCTCTATCAGTCTAAGGCTGATAAAGCCTTGCTTTGTGGAGTCAAAGTAGGCCCCACTGTCCACCTACCCGCAAAGGTTGTGTCTTAGGTTGGTAAGTAGCAGTGGGGAGCGACGTTTTATAGCGTGTGCAAGGATAGCTGCAGAAGGCCTCTGCCACCACCTGACCTGCCACAAGCATGCGGAAAGTATGTGATGATACCTCCCAGAGGCCTCTGCCCACGGCCTGCACCTACCACATGCATGTGGCCAGTATGTAAGAACAGCAGTCCCCCCAGGCCTCTTAGTGCACCTACTACTAGCATGTAGACATCATAGTGTGCACCTCCAAGCTCATTCTGGAGCAAGGTCCAACACACTCCTTATTTTGGAGCAGTTGATGCTGCTAATGGGAAACTGGTTTTTGCCCTTGGTGGTTTTCTCAGCCCTTGATGGTGATGCTGTCTTTCTGCTAGGTCACAGCAGGTAGTGAGCCTTGGGTGGTAACAGGAGACAGCACAGGCCATCACCCGGGAAATATTTGGAAGAAGGCTCTTCTCATTATCAAAGATTCTTCTTCTAGGCTTCAGGGATGGGGATCTGGTGAGTGGCAGAACTAGTCAGGAAGAATAGTGCCTACAACACCCAACTTGTTGCGGGGGCAGTGTGGGGAGCAGAATCAGGGACAACCCAGAGAAGGCTGCATAGGTGCAGAGGGATGTCCCAGCACCCACCACTGTCTGGCTCGAGCTAGGTACCGAGGTCAAACTTGGGGGCAACTGGGGTGGAAGACACACAGGTAAGGCATGGATTGCTCTTCAGCTTTGAGCCTTCCCTCCAGAGCCAGTCCCTACCCCCTTTGTGGCTGTGGTACAGGTAAGACGTCTGGCTGCCCTGGAACACTGGGAAACATTTACTTTTTCTTTTTTTTTTTTTTTTTTGGTTTTTCGAGACAGGGTTTCTCTGTGGCTTTAGAGCCTGTCCTGGAACTAGCTCTGTAGACCAGGGTGGTCTCGAACTCACAGAGATCCGCCTGCCTCTGCCTCCCGAGTGCTGGGATTAAAGGCGTGCGCCACCATCGCCCGGCCTACTTTTTCATCTATATCTCCCAGCAGGTAAAATCTCGGAAGGCAGGCCCTACACCTTATTTGTTTCTATATTCCTTACACCTCCGAGGGCACACAGAGATACCAATTTGGCACAGTGTTTGTTTTGTATTTTTTCAAGCAAGGGGATTCCAAAGATTACTCTTGGCCTTGTCCAGTCATAAGAACTTTGGATGAGTTTTTCTTGATCAGGATATCGCCGTATCTTTCTCTGTGGGATGAAGCCTCAGGGGGTTGGGTTGTTAGCCCTGAACTTATAGTTCTGTGTCCACATCTGGTGAGCGTGTGGCATGGGTCCTCATATAGCTCCTACAGGGTCTCCAACTCCAGCCTCACTGACAGCTTGGCTATGGAAGAAATGCTTCTGCCTCCTGGTAAGGATTCCCGCTGTGCGGCAGGTATTAGAGATAAGCTCATCCATGCACTTGCTCCACTCATTGCTGCCTTCAGCTCCCATCTCAAGGATGTAGCTGGATGGTGGGTCCCTTCTCCAGGCTCACACCAGCCAAGGGAGATGCTTGAGTTAGAGGAATCAGTCATATTTTGGCCCTGTACCAGGCCTGGAGTTTCTAGGGCAGCACAGGCATCCCGTTGCTCCCCAAACTCATCTTTCCAACCCCATGGCTAGTTCTCACACTCAGCCTGGACCCTCGTTTGCGCCACTTCCACAGCAGCTTCCACAGGGAGCACCCTCAATCCATAACTTGATTGCTCAACAAGGTGCCAGCTTAGTTATTTTCCTAACTCAGTAGTTTCAGTATCTTCAAAATTCAACACATCCTAGACAGTCAACTCTCATAGTTCAAAACCCAGATTTAACCTAGCCATTTCCACTGCATCCACTTATTCCCACATCATGTCCTAACTGAAGGCCTCCTGAGCATCTACCCAGCATCCTCCCTCCATCCCAACACATCTCCTCACTCACCTAACAACAGATGGCAAAGCTTGAGAAAAGCCCTGCCTACCCTGCCTTCTCACTAACCCCGATGCTCAGACTTTATTTGTTGGCTTTCTCTTGAGTATGAATCCCGCTTCTCTATGAGGCTGGCAGTCTCCAGAGAGGGAGAATGTAGTCCTTCCTGTCAAACTTTTCCCAGTGGAGATATTCTCTCTCGAAAGGGCTGGTTCCACTCATGTGTTGGACCTGGCCTTATATCAACAGGATCCTCGGCCACCACTGAACTGGTTGGTAGGCTGGAATGTTCTCGAGTGGCCTTATACACAGCTATAACTCGGAGTTTACATTCTGTGTCCTCCATCCACAGTACACTCTGTCCCTGAGGTGGGGAGATGGAGAGGTCATGAGGCTAGGAGCACCTGTGATATAAGAGACCAAAGAGTGGAAGACCACAGAAGGGGAGGTAATGGGATGCTAAGACTCCAAAGGAACTTAAGGAGAGAGTATACCCACTCAGGAAGACTTTCTTTGTTCCACCCACTCCTGACCTAGAACATCTGTCCCTAGCGCCTCACCCTAAACAGGGTCATTATTGACTGGCATTCACAGATTGTTGCCTTTCTTTCTCCACTGGACAAAGTAGCCAAGCACTGCCCTGCCCCATCCTGGACAGGGACATTCTATGTGATGGTCACCAATTCCCTGGTCACATCAATCACTTGAGGCTGAGTGGCAAGGCAAGGTGGTGCTATGGGTAACCTGGAGAGGGGAAAGGTAAGGAAGGGGGAACATGTCAATAGCTCCCTGACCCATGCTGATTTCTACCTCTATTTGAAACACCTAAACCAGTGACTGTTAACGCTGGTTAAACATTAAATGGGAAACATAGAAACCCACCACCAACAATTAATATCTGGGTCCTAATTCAAAATTTCCTATTTGGATATTCTTGGGGTAGAGGGCAGGCATGCACGAGCATTTACTAAAGCCCAGATGGTTTTACTGTGTAAGATATGGGCAATGCAAGTCCTCTGGTTCCTGCAACTCTGGTGCCACAGTTCTCAGTCTTGACACACTGACACAGGGAAACCATTTGGGAGGGGTGCAGCCAGTAATTAACTAAGAATTATAATTAAAATATTGATACTGCCAAGGGTTTTCTTTGGAAAAAAAAAGTGGTTTCAGGCTTGTTCCTAAGTTGGTGTCATGGACTCTCAGCTTCCAAAATGATTTCTGGAAATGAAGAAAGAAGTGGAGTTTGTTCTGTCAAGACATTTGCTCTTCATCTGCAATCAGAATGCCATGCCAAACAGTTAAGTGGATGAGCCCGTGGTATTCCCTGCAGGTTAGCATACCTCAGTAGCCAAAGGCCCTCATCATAACCCCTAGGTGCCCCTTTCCGCTTAACACTAAACAATTTCTCAACTATAGGATTTGTTACAAAGACTTTCTCAGTCTCAGCTGGGTCTTTCTGTTCTTTTGCCTGGGTGGTGAATTTGGCCATTTTGGCATCCATCTCTCCTTCTCCTCTAGGACTTCCACAGTGAACTGCTTCACAGGCCGGCCTTCCGTTTCCTGTGCACTTAGTTACGCAAGAGCTCCAGGAACTGCCCTTGGCCTTGGCGAGACTTTGGGCGGGCGGTCTAGAGACAGACAGCAGCCGCACACATGGGACTTTGGAGCAAAGGGACAAAAGGGTTTCTCACTAACCAGAGGTCTGGCTAGGCTGGGGCAAAACTGGGCTCTGAGTTTTCTGGCTCCTTCGCTTGTCCTGTGTCCAGCACTCCTAAATGTGCCCCGGGTGTTTGATCCTTGCTTGTCTGAGCCTCCTGCCTCCTTAGAGATGAGTGCCCTGAAGCCCCTGGAAAACTCTACTTAGCTGCCATCCACACCACAACCCTCTCCTAGACAAGTTCTTCCCCCTTTTCTGAGGTTCCAGAATACCTGTGCTTTCTAGTGCTACTGTTGTTCTTGGGGAACAATTACTTCTGTGTCTACTGGTTTTACTCATTTGGGTATGCTGTATCTATGTGTCCCCAAGATCACAGGGGTGGTAAAGGGAATGAAAATGCAAACCTCATGCCCTAGCTGTGTGTGTGATGGATGCTGAAGGCCTCAAAGCCAGCTCCTCATGGTCCAAACGATGGTGTGTGTGTGTGTGTGTGTGTGTGTGTGTGTGTGTGTGTGATGGATGCTGAAGGCCACAGAGCCAGCTCCTCATCATGGCCCAAATCTATCTAAAATCCCCTTCCTACCCCAACTCCAGCTCGTTGTTTTTCTTCCCACGCTCTTTGCAACCAACCTACCCTCCTCTCCTCAGTCCCACCCCTCGTCTCCTTCCCTCCAGCCAACCCTCACTGTTTAGTCCACAACAACACTCAAGTGACTACTGGGAGATGAGCTGTGTACTGTGCACTCTGCTGTGCATTTGAGCAGCACTAGAAATAGATGTTAGGGTAAATCCCTACCCCGTCCCCAGTGGGAAGCTGAGGCTTAGAGTGGTCTACTTGACCAAGGCCGCTTAAGAAATTAGGCAGTCAGCTTCTGGTTACAGAGCCAGGATTCCAATCCCATTCCCAGTCAAAACTCAAACTTTGTCCAGAGCCTTCTTCCCAGTCATGCGCTCTGGTTACTGGCCAGCTGGGGCTCTCAGACAGCCTGGTGGCTGTGCCCTCACCTAGCACCTTGAGGTGCACAGGAGAGTTTCTGTGTGACTGTTGTTCTTGAGCTTGAGCAGGACTAAGCTGCTGTCTTTATGGACAGTTGTAGATGGTGAGTAGATGCTGGTCTTCTGTGTGCTCCACGGACACATGCTCCTCTTTGGTCACCTACACACCATCTTGTACCAGGTCACTTTGGACAATAGCCTTGCTAGTAAGGGCACCTTAATGTGATCCATGTAGCCCACTTTCATGGTTGCAGGACAGCTAGTGTTTCCAGATGGATGCATCAATGGAAGGAGATCTACAGGGCAAAGCATTGTGGGATGGGGGGGACTGGTAGGATGGGGCGGGGGTGATGAGATTACAGATTGGTCCAGCATCCTTGAACCTGTCTATCTTCAGAGGAACTTACATGCAATGAATACTTGGGCTTACCTGGGGGTGGATAAATGTGGATTCACATCTCCACAGAGAACGTTACACAGCTCAAAGGTATACATTTTTGGTCCGTGATTACCCAGCTGATAATATGAGCCCAGTGAGTGTTAACTCACTGGTTAACACACACTTAACCTGGTTATCAGGTTAGTAACTATTATAATTTTATTTTCTTTCCTGCCTCCCCGACTAGAAGAACCTTCTATTTTCAGTACCCATCACAGAGCCTTGCCAAGAGGAGATGGATGGATGGACGGACACATGAGGGCTGCCATGGCACGAATTCCACCCCTCCAGCTCTCACTGAACCATTCACAGCCTGATATTGCGATGAGCCTCTGTACCATGTTCCTGCTTGGTCAGAGAACGTGCCACTGTTGCTGAGTCTGGCGTCTTTGATCTGAAGTGTGGAGGTCAGGCCACCCTCAGATGGTTTCAGAGCTCATATTCGTCACTCCTCGGCAGCTCCTTCTTGTTGAACATTCACACACTTCAATCTCTTTCTCGGAGTGGCGGATCTCAAACACAGCTGTCCACCATTGCCACCATCGCTAGTTTCGCTTCTGTGGACTTCAGTGGCTCATCTGCAGCAGAGAGCAGGAGGTGGGCAGTTGTGGCCCACAGCTAGGGAAACACCCTTCCTTTCATACCACTTGCTAACCTCCACCTGACCTGGAGTCCCATCTTATGATATTTACATGGTCCCTCTTCCAGTAGTATTAACAGCAGTTAAAAAAAAAACTTATATAGTGTTAAAGATCTGATTGGCACTATTATAGCTAATTTTCACATATTGATTAATCTGAAGAGTCCAAAAATAAGAATATGAAAATGTGGATTACTGAAATAAGAATGTAGAAATAAAGAAATATAAAGCTGTAAGCCCAGGAGAATGAGAGCATACTGTCAGTGGCTTTCTCAGCAGCTTAAGGATTAACTATAACAGCGGGTTACTCCGCTTTACAACCCCATAGCTCTGTTTGTGAAGCTGAAGCTGCCCTCTGCAAATTCAGGGTCCCTCTGCAAACTAAGGATCAGCTTTTAGATACCCCCTGGCCACTCATGGCCAGCAACTGATGTAAGCTGAGGTAACTTTTAAATAATGGGATGTACGTGACTTTTGACTTTTTGGTTTTATATTTTTCCCATACACTTCCCTGCCATGGGAAACTGGCAGTGGCAGGGAGGTGCAGAGCCTTGGTAAACACCGTCAAAGAGTGCCAGGGGAAAACAGTGGGCTAAATACAAACACTAGTTTAACTGAAAAACTCTGTTAATGGAAATTTCAAAGAGGGGCAATTTGTGTCTATCACTTCAAGATTGTAAAAATTCCTTTGTTATTGCCCAGTGCTTGTTGTTTCTTCATATAAAAAGGGAGGGTTCAAAGCTGGCCTTTGCCATAGCTGTACAACTCTGGCTGTGGTCTCAGTTAGCTGATAAGCTTTTTGTGCCCCAGGGAGATTTTTTTTTAAACTTTTAATTTTTTTTCCTGGAATAAAGTTTGCTTCTGGTTTATTAGACTTCAGTGGTCTGTCCCTATCTTTGTGATACCCCTGTGGACCAACAAAGCTAATCTTCATCTAGGTAGGTTCTATTATGTTTTCCCATTTTACAAACAGAGAAACCAGGGCAAAGAAATAAGGCCACTTGCTGTGAATCACACATCTGTAAGGAGCAGAAGCTGGGACTTGGAACCTGGTAGTCTAATTCCAGAGTCTTCCCTCTTAACCACCATGCTGCACTGCCCCATGACATTATTTCATCATCTCTAGGGAATAGCTATACCTTGAAGTTCATGCTTCTTTTTTATACTAACTCTCATGCCCCTGGAGTCCTTTCATGCTTAGACCACAGTCTTCTCTCCAATACGGTCATAGACTTCTCCAGGCCATTCCTCTTCCTGACACGCCTTTTGGACCTAGATGCCCACTTCCATATCCAGCATGGTGAACTCTACATGCATCTTCGTCACTTTTCCATTGCTTAGGAAGGAGAGTGCTTATTTGGGGCTTGTAGTTTCAGAGAGTTAGCCACCGTCAGTATCACGGCAGATACTGTGATACTGTATCTGCCTACTACCAGGCAGAGAGAGCTTACTGGGGATGGCATGGGCTTCTAAAACCTCAGTCTATCCCCAGTGACACACCTCCTTCAATAAGACCACACATCCTAATCCTCCCCAAAGAGTTCTGCCAAGTGGGGACCAAGCATTCAAATATATGGGCCTATGGGGGCATTCCCATTCTCAAACTGCCACGGCAGCCATCCAGCTGTTCCCCACAGTCAGGCGTAGGAACTGGCATCGCTCACCCTTATGTTGGTAATGACCAGCATGCACTTGGTGCTCACCTGCTCACACTTGTACCTGCTCATGGAGTACCGGGTCCTGCAAGGCTCAGTGTCCTACCTCACAGAACAGCTAGGGAAGGTGACAAAGGGGTTTATAGACTCCTGAGCTCCCCATTCCCCAGAGTCAGCATGACTGACCAGAGAGTGCGTGCACATCTCTCTAAACATACCCAGGTCCAATAACCTCTCTAACTTCACCATCCAGCTTGGTGAGACCCAAAGTCCCTGCTTCCCTTAAGGCCCACAGTCTTTTCTTTATAATTAAATTAATTTCTTTTACATCCTGACTGCAGTTTCCTCTCCCTCTTATCCTCCCATTCCCTCTCTCTCCCCTTCCATCCATTTCTTTTCTGTTTCTGTTCAGAAAGGGGCGGGCCTCCCGTGGGTATCAGCAAAGCATGATGTAGCAAATAAGACTAAGCTCCTCCCTTTGCATTTACGTTGGGCAAGGCAATCCAGTATGAGGAACAGGTTCCCAAGAGCCAGGCAAGGCATTAGAGATAGCCCCTAATCCCATTGTTAGGAGTCCCACAAATTGACCAAGCTACACCACTGTCTCATGTATATAGAGGAAGGTCCACATTCTTAATGCTTATGAACCCGTGAGATGCTTTCCCTAGGAGCAGAACTTCAGTGACCTTCAGGGTTATTTACTTCAGGCTTTCTGTTTGAAGGTGAGTAGACTAACCATTGCACATCAAAATGAACATGGTAGAGTAACTAGAAAAAAAAGTCTAGGAACTAGCTTCTTGCAGCGTTATCAAAGGTGTCCTGTTGATAGCTACAAGAGAGGAGCTGGCTTATTGCTAATGAGAGGGTCTGAGGAGCAGAAAGGGCAGCAGACGTGGTGTAGCTAAGTTGGTTCCTGGCTAGGAGTTCCCCACCTTGACCCATATCATCTCAGTATTGGGGTCCTTCAGCTCCTGTTGCGGGAGGTCCTTCCGCCCCTCCAACCAATAGCTGCTGTGATACCAGCCCATTGGGGCGTGGTCTCTCCCTTTAAAAAAGCGGCTATTTCCTCTGCTCGCTCTCTTCACTTCCTGCTCCGCCGGAGACTAGACTCCCTTCCTGGTTGTGCAGATGGCTGTTGTCTGGGACGGTGATCTGTAAGTTTTCCCCTTTAAATAAATAACACCCTATTAATCATAACTCCAAACTGGTGTGGCCTTGTTCGTGACTTACGCCTTCAAGCTCCACAATACAGTCGAAGACTGTGGTGGTATCAACCTTGGTCTCTATGTCTTCTAGCGGCTTCAGAATCCAATGACCCGAGAGGTTGTTTCAACAAAATACAAGGCTCAGAGGCACTCGGGCTCTATCTAGGCAGTGCCCACAGTCCTGGAGGTTAACCCTTAAAGGTCTAGGCTCATTAGATATCACCTCCTGCCTCACCAGGCTCATTGATCAACTGGAGGATAGGAGTGTAGGGTTGTAGGAGATGAAGAAGGAACCATCATTCATAGAATAGTCATGATGTGCCTGAGCCCAGGACAGATTCTATCATTAGATAGTCAGTGCTTAGAAAGAGTTTGGGTGAGCGAATAAATGACAACAGAAAAACAAATATAAGAGAGGAGTACAATTTTTGTTGATGTAGAAACTGAAACTCAGAGATACCCAAGACAATGAAAGTGTAGTTTGAACCCAGGTCTGTCTGAATGCACATGCATGCAACTGGGGAGGTGATGTAAGGACAGGAGTGTGACAGGATCTCTCTCTGCATTTGTGGTGGACAGCCTGCCTTGCGCACATGTGAGTGCTAGTGCATGTGCGTGTGTGTGTATGTGTGCACACGTGCATGTGTGCGCATGTGCACATGTGAGTGCTTGTGTTTGCGCATGTGCATGCATGTGTGTGTGTGCGCGCGTGTGTGCATGCACATATGTAAGTGCCTGTGTGTGTGTGCATGGCAGGGGAGAAGTCCAGGCATGACCCTCAAGCCCCTGCTCCCTGCTGGGCACTGATCCTCCTCCCCACTTCCACTTTCTTCTATCCCTTTGCGCTTTTTTAACGCTCTCCCAAGTCAGGTCCATAGAGACCTTTGCAAAGTCCTTCTTGGGTACCTCTGTCAAAATCTCCAGCATCTTTCTCTTCTGTCACCCTCTGCTTCTTTTTTTGGGTTAGGGGAGCCCTAGACTGTTAGAGGGGGACCAAGATTGTACTCACTGTTTCCCTCTGTACCAGCCTTGAGCTACCTCTCCACACTCTGGATTCTTGAACTCAGGACTCTGCGACAAAGCTTTTGAGAGGCTTCAGCTGTGTAGTAGGTGGAGCAGCGGGCTGCATCCCACCGCCCGGCTAGCTTAACCCCCCGAAATAACCACACAGAAATTGTATTAATTAAATTACTGCCTGGCCCATTATATCTAGCCTCTTCTTGGCCAACTCTCACATCTTGATTTAACCCATTTCCATGAATGTGTATCACCACTTGACTGTGGCTTACTTGCATGAGTCTAACCAGCATCCGTCTCAGGCAGGAGAATCATGGCGTCTGCCTGACTCTGTTCTTCTTCCCAGCATTCTGCTTTGTCTTCCCCGCCTACCTGAGTTCTGCCCTATCAACTAGACCAAGGCAGTTTCTTTAATAACCAATGAAAGCAAATACAGAAGGACCTCCTACGCCACAGCTGGAGAGGGAGGAGACCTCATCCTGGGCAGGGACTGCCCTCCTCCCCCATCTTTTTTTCACAGCTTCTTGATTTAGTTTTTCTTGACCTGAGGACAGAAAGAGGGCACCATCTGACAGGCAGATACCCAGTTCTTCGGAGAAAAAGCCAGGAGGATGCAGGCTTGCCCTCTGTTACCAGCAGGGATGGTGTAATGACATCTGTGTGCTCATTGCTTTCAATGCACCTGCTGTTGTCTGAATCATCTGACGTCAGCTACTCTGCTGACGCCGAGTTAGACCATTGGGGGTTGGGCAAGAGATCTCCTGTGAGAGGGGAAGAGAGAGTTTTTAGAGGAGGGAAGGTAGCTGAGTGTTGAGGTTATGCACGAAAAACGGGGCAAGCAGTGTGGGTACAGGCATCTACTGTTCAGTTCTATAACACTCCCTCCCCCCAGCTACGAGCTCCTAAAGGGCACGGACCTCTGGAGTTGAAATTTATATTTCATTTTCCTGCAGTGGGAAATCTAATGAAATTTCATTTAATGCAATTTACTTGTTCATCTCAGGCACTAGCCTGGACCCTGGAGGGAACAAGAGAGAATACAACTGTCCTGGTTCTTGTCTGCACGGTGCTCACAGAGGGGCTGGCCTTGTGCAGGGGGTGCCCTGGAGGAGACTCCGGGACAGCTTCTCTGTGGGCAGAAGATCCAAGGACCAGGTTTGGGAAAAGAAACCAAGTTCTATTGAGGGAGCGAGGCAGAACCTCACCTTTCACAGTGGGAAGTGGGGAAGGAACTTAGGAATTTAGGGTTCCCCCAGTGAGTGACCCATCTCTGCCTCTGGAAGCAGACTTTTTTGCAGTTGGGCAACACTTTTCCGGAAGGGATCCAGAGTGATACCTTAAGGATGGTTGGTCCTTGATGAGGCTCTTCTGGAGGGTCCAGGAGCTCCAGGTCTCAGCCCTATCCTATTTCCCCCAGCATGGTCTCACTCCGTCTACCATGGTCCCTCTTTGCTATCCTCACTATGTAGCTATTCACTTCCTGAGACCTCGGTTTGATCAACTACTCCTTTGGCTTTTGTCCGCTGGTCTCTTCCCTTCCCTCTGGCTTTCCCACTGCCTTCTGACTTGGCCCTCGTTGTCACCTTGCCCTGCAGATAACTGCACGGTGACTCTCTGAGGCCTGCAGCCTGCCCTGGCAGGGGTCGGGTGGAGTGAGTGATGGGCGAGAGGTGTCTAGGCCTCTGCCTCCTCGGTGTCCAGCTTCATCTTTAGCATTTGTTCCTTGTGGATTTTGTTATAGAAGGTCTTAGAGATTCCCCCTTCCCCTCTTCCAGGACACGGAAGGTTTGAGGTTTTCCTGCACCAGGGCTCTGAACACTGCATTATTCGCTGTGGTGGAAACACAGTATGTTCTACTCCATAGCCCGCAGGTTGGAAGCAATGCCAACTCCTTACTTCCTCCTGGGACCTGGGGCCAGCCTGGAACAGGGAGTAATACAGTTCTCAGTTTGTGTACTGGGGGACACTGGGGAAGGGGCTGGAGGAGAAAGAGGCATGGGGAGACACACAGAGAGGCATATCCTCAGGAGAGATGGTGGGACAAGGTTTCTCATGAACTCAGGGACACTTCCCCAGGCTGGGTGCTGGAACTCCAGGTTTGCAAGAATGACACTGTGCCGGACATCTTCCTTGTCACTACTTCCTATGGGTTAACCGAGAGGTCCAGAAGGACTCTAGGTGGGAGTTCATCCTGGGATTGAGGGCTCACATTTGCTTCAGTGGGTGGGGCATGCGGAAGCAAGGGCAGTGAGGGCCAGAGAGAACAGGAAACCATCTGGGACTGGAATTGATAGTCATCAAATTCTGTCTAATTTCAGCCAGTAGGGAGCACTAACGCCTCTCCACCACGCAGTGATCAAGGACCTTTGTAGGGTCACCTTGAGTCTCATACAGATATATAAAAGGAGACTCTCTTTTAGGACGGGTGTCTGTCTGTCTATCTATCATCTTATCTATCTATCTATCTATCATCTATCTATCTATCTATCACCTATCTATCTATCTATCTATCTATCTATCTATCTATCTATCTATCATCTATCTTCTTTTGGGCTTCTCTCCTGGGAGTTCTGGTCCCCTAGTATAAGGTACTTGGGCCCGCTTCTCCTTGGAAGGGCTGTAACTTAGCTGAACGCTGTCTTAGAGTTTCTCAGCCAGTCTGTGGGTTCAGCATGAGTTTTCTTGGAAGTGGTGAGGGGCAGGACACATTGCCAATCCAGAGGGGCTGCCTATGGATTTCACCTTAACTGAAAGAGCATATTCCACCCCTATCCCCTTGTTTTATTTTCTTGTGATGCTGGGGAGAGTCCAGGGTCTTGCACATGCTAGGCCAGTGCTCTGTCACTATGGTATGAACTACACAAGGTCTTCATGGCTGCTTTAGGAAGCCCTTTCTTGCCCTGTGCCCTGGGCCATGTGAGGCACACATCAGTGGTGATTTTGTTAACCCTCAGGGCAGCCAGTAAAGCAGATGCTTTTGCTCCCCGAACTCAGGCTGGGATGGAAAACATTTTGTTAAGGAGCTCTCACGGCTTGATTTTCAACAGCAACTAGCCGTCTAAAGAGGCGGTGCGGAGGCCGCTCTTTGCCTGCAGATGTCTTTTCTTGACTGCCACGATGCGTAAACAAAGTGGCAGTCCATGAAAAAGGAAAGATGTTACGTGTGAATGTTGGCTGCTGGTTAGTGGGAGGTGAACCACGGCTGCTTCTTTAGAAAGGTGTCCTCTCAAGTGTCCCCTCACTTTCCCCGCCCCCCCCCATTTGTGTTTCCCCATTCCCTGCCTGAACTCTGTTGGTCAGTCCTGTCGACCCTGGCTGCACACCAGAATCCCCGAGGAGCTTAAAAAACATTCCCCGATTTAATGGTCCGAGAGAGACTCGGGCGTGGCTGGGTTTTCCAGCCCCACCCCTAGGTTGAGATGGCTCTCATTCACTACAAGGGCTGAAAATCGTGACTGTAAACCATTTTGCACTTTTTAGTCTAGACCGTAGACCTTGAATTCTGGCTGCTTGACTTCAAGGCTCCGTCCCACTGACCAGAGTGATGTGGTGTTTTTATCTCATGACCTTGTACACAGAGGACTTAAAGAGACTCTGTCCTTCTGGGACCTTGAAGGTGTACAAGAAGGCTGTGAGGAAAGATAATACCTTGGCCTCCAGCCATTTTTAACCTCTTTTACCAGAGACACAGCCGAAACAGCCTGTCCTGCTCTGAGACCCCTTCCCAGCTTTCCCGTGATGCTCTCTGCTTCAAGTCTGGCCCCAAGGAGTAAGAACCGGATTGCTCAGGCATTTGTTTATGTGCGTGTCTCTCCTCTGCCTGTGGCCAGCTCTCCAATTTCTCAAGTGGACCAGGGTTAGCATAGCTCAGCGTACCTTCCTGCAAGGGGGACATTCATGCAATCCATTTGTCCCAGGTTCTGAACGAATGACTTAAGCAATTAAAGAGTTTATTAACCTTTTACACACATCCGTAGGATTCACATTTTTCCTAATCTGTTTTTTCAGCGATTTGGCCATCCAGCTCAAGCCTTGGATTAGAAGCACAGGTTGGGAGGAGGTAGCTGTTAGTCCTGGGGTCTCCTGAAGGACCAACTCATGGCAAAGACTGAGGCCACCTATGGGTGGGTATAGAAAAGGGAAGGCTTTCCTGACCTCCCTTCACACTCCCTCACCTGTACCACCGCCTCCCTCCCACCATCCTGGTTGTCTGAGAGGTCTTCACATGGGGGTGGAGCTGGAGAATTCCACAGACACATGTTATTACTGTATCATCTGCTGGTGGTAAGAGACCATCATGGTGACAGCAGGCATGGGCACTCACCTGTGTGGACCATGGAGAGGATGAGGCCACTGAAGATAAAGGGGTAGGAGAAATAGTCAGAGGTGCTGAGTGTGTGTGTGTGCGCGCGTGCGTGTTCATGTGTATGCACATGTTCATGCACACAAGTGTCTAAAGACACGAGGGATAGGGAATGCACCGCAGAGGACAGCAGTCAGTTAATGGACTTTTACTCTCTGGCCTCTCTTTTCTCTACTCCCCATTTCCTTTCCCTAACTGGTTACAAGGACCAGTGGGCCCGTGCCTTCACCCAGCAGCACAAACAGTCCCAGGTCCCTGGAGACAGAGGATTTGGGGCTTGATCTTACCCAGATAACTGAGCAGAGCTCATGGGGAGCTGGGAGACCTGCCGAGAGGCACTGAGAGGAAGACAGTGCTGGGCAGTTCATCCGGAAGTCGTGCCAGAGGAGGGATTTCTCACTATGCCTTTCTGAGACAGAAAGCTGAATAGCTTTCCGTTCTGGGTCTGGGGGACTTGTGTTTGGGACATTGACACAGGTGACTGTGTTTCTACAACTGTTTCCATTTGTCACAGGACAAAGGCAGAGGCTTAGCTTTTATTTCTTACACTTTTTAAAGCCGGTACTCTAATATATTAATCACATAAGATGCCATAAATGTTTTCTTCCCACCTCCTAGCCCTCAAGAGAGGGACCCACATGCAATCTGGGGTTCCTTCTGGAGCCCTTCCATTCAGACACGGATAAGGGCATGTGGTCTTCCCATTGTACATGTCAGGTGGCCTGTCACACACAGTTCTGTCCCTGTTCTCTCTCTGTGCCGCGGAGATCTCTGTATACCAGTTTACAAGGAATTTCCTTCTTCTTGACGGCAGCACCCACGTTTCAGTGACTGGACACACCTGCCTCTTAGTTAACCTGAGTGGTGTTTTTTCAGAACCTGATTTGCATATGAGGAAACGTGTCTGATTGATGTGGTCTATCCAAATTGTCACCCACAACAGAATCTGAGCTTCTGACTCCTCCAGCCCTGTCTGGCCCAGTGGCCTCCAGAGAATTCAAAGTCTTCTTCCGAGCGACGGTCTGAGGCTAACTACCCATTTCTACTTCATACGTCTTCGCCTGGGTTGCTTCCGTCTCTAGGTACTAAGAGCAGCCCATGCTCTGTCTCACTCCATCTCTCCCTCTGGCACAGAAAGTACCAGTTGATGTCTTTTCCCAGAGGCAAAGTCAGGAAGCCTTACCTTCTTTACTAACCTCAGCCTTCCAACCCTTGGTTGCTGTGCCTATGGCTTGGAAGCTTGGTTGCTTCCCTGGCAGTGGAATGGTTAGTTTCTTTCTTTGTTCCAACAGTGGACATTGTTTATCACCAGTTCCTTAGATGCTGCGCTCTTGGGGGCGGGGAGAACCCCTTTCTTAGGCTCTTTTTTTGCTTGATGACACACAGCTTAGCAGTGGAAGTTAGGGGAGGAAAGCAAGCTGGATGCAGGAATGGACGGACTGCTGGCCAGGCCTGAGGGACGCTGAGGTGGCAAGCCAGGAGTCCATTTCCTATGTCTTATGGTAGAGGTTCTGTTTCTCACTGCTGCAGGGAGGGGTTTCTCTGAGTTGAGGGGCCCAAGGTAGCTGTCCCTGCGTGGGTATGTGAGCATGTGCAGCCAGACAGGACTGGGAAGAGGTACGCTGGGTGAGTCTAGTGGATGCGCCACCTTGCACAAATCCTGGGATCACCGTTTGTTCTGCGGCACGGTGTGGTCTTGTGGGGTAGGAGAATGACAGTAGCTAGGCTCCTTCCTATTCCTTAGCCCAGTCTCTGAAATCTGGGTAGCCGAACCTTCCTCTGGGAGGGAGAGCTCTGTGAGCCGGCAGCCCTGCCTTGGAATTGTTGGGCCCGCCCACTTACTTCCTATTGGCTCAATGGAGCCCAATAGCTGTTGTAATCCAACAGCTTCCCTTGGGAGGCCTGGGCTGAGAGTAGCCCCTCCCAAAGGGCCCCAGAGAACTAGATTCCCATCCATCTGGGACACTTCTGTTCTGGTCTTCTCCCCTGACCCTAAAATGAAGCCAAGGAAGCTGACGACCACTGACGGTAACGGAGGTCACCCCAGGACAGGCTGATGGCCAGCCAATGGGGCCTTCAAAGATTCAGCCATGGAGGGGATGACATGGACAATAAGAAAAAACAAGGATGTCTGAAGCTCAGATGGGGTCCCAGAGAAAAGAACTGTACTATCCGACCAGAGAGGGGCCTGGGGGCCTCCCTGCCTCAGTTCTTTAGTGGCCTGCTAATCCCTTTGCCTTTCTGGAAATTTCCCATACCCATCTGTGAGGTTCCCTGTGGTGCAGTGTACTTCTGTGGGCTGGGGCTGAAGGCTGAGTGAGAATCCGGAGGTATTAATAGACTTTGGCTTTTTAAATTTGGCTTCATGTATACTCCCAGTCTCCACAGGGGGCGCCAGCGAGCAAGAAGGGCAACTTTATGCACACCGGCAGAGGAGAGGCACAAAGTCCTGGGGTGCAAGGAGACTGGGAATGGAAGGAACTGGAAATGACAGACCCAGGAGACTAGTTTTGCTCAAAATGCTCTGTTTATTGCTCTATCCAATGACCACGAGCGAATTATAAAAAGACACGAAATGTCTCTGTTTGCCGTGGAATAAATATTTAAAGTCAGCAATAAAAACACGTGGCTCCAAGATAACACATGTTGCCAAAGAATCATGCATGCCCTGCTCATGGGCTTTCAACACACACATGGACACAGGGAACACACGCAGAGCGACACGCAGAGAGACTTTTGGGCTTTCCCATAGTGACACAGAAAGATGTCTTACAGGTTTGGAGTTGAGTCCCCATCCTACTCTTGGAGGCCCCCCTCAGGGCCCGGCTCTTTGGGGTTCCCCACCTGCATCTCTCCTCTTCCTCTCCAGTGCCTCCCAGGCTGGTCATTGCCTCCTGAGAGTACCAAACACTCAGAAGGCATCTAGAGTAATGCCCACCCTTGCCCAGGAACCTTCCTTAGCTGGGATCTCTCTGTCAACCATCACGTGCTCCCCTGCCTGGTTTCTGAATCCTATTCCTGCCATCCGCATTCTGATGGCAAAATATAATCTGCCTTTTCTGAGGAGCTGGCGGGGCCAGAGGCGGTTACCTCTCTGCCTCGGGGGCTGGGGGACTGAGGGGCCGGAGCTCAGTTCAGGGTTCCACTCCTGGCTGAGGGGACACAGTGTCTGGTACAGATAGCAGAGATGGATGGATAGACAGAACACATAGTGGTAGAACATTTGGAATGTGGCATTGAAACATTTTGGACCAAGTAGCGGTGGAACCATGGTTAAAACTGAGGCCCCAGGTCTGTATGGTGTGGGTCAGGCCCAGGGGCCCCAGGCCTGGCCTGGCACATTCCTCCCCTGCCCTCCCCAACTCTGCAGTATATACAGTAGAAGAGCTGGGCTGGGGGTAGGGACCAGGCCAGGACAACAGAGGGGGGAGCAGACTGAAGAAAAGGAAGAGTTGGGGGGAAGGGACGGGAGCAGACCCAGGACCCAGGCAAGGCCAGGTCTCGGGTTAGGGTGAAGGCCCAGACTCAGGCTGGGCAGTGCCCAGAGGAGCTCAGAGGAAGAGCGTGATCACTCTGAGGACCGGCGGGACAGTTGCTTCTCATAGAGGCTCATGACGTGGTGCACAAACTGGTACTGTTCACATGTCTGGATCATGCCACCCCTGGCCAGTAGAGATGCAGTGGGCTGCGGGAGGGGTCCTCAAGCACTAGGGGTACCAGCTATTCTGTAGCTTACAGAGATCAACTCTTCCTGGCCACTGCTCTCTGTCCCTTCATTTCGGGGACACACCCTGATTTCAGCTCCTGTCCTTTCCAAACCAGCTGCCTGGCTTCTGTCTTCCTCCAGAGAGCTGCCTGGATTCCGCTCTCTTCCATTTTTTTTTTCTGTTCCCCATCTGCCTTACAGACTACATCTGGTTTGTCAACTGTCCCTCAATTCATGCACACATCACGCTGCCACCCTCTCCTCCCCTGACCAGTGGCTGACCTGTCCTGACGGAGCTGGCATGTGGTCTTTAGGATGTCCACGACGCCTTCACGTCGCAGCTGCTGGCAGCAGATGCTGGTGGCGATGAAGCAGCCAGTCCTCCCAATCCCTGCACTGGAGGTCGGGAGGAGAGATGGGGTTAGGGGCCCAGAGATGGGGGTGGCCCTGCCCCAGTGGGTGGACAGGAAAACCCACCTGCAGTGAACGATGATTGGGGAACAATGGGGTCCCTCTTGTTGGGCTGCCTCCTCCACCTCCCGTACCAGGTGCAGGAGGGGAGGTGCTCGGTCTGGAGTCTTCTTTTCGGGCCAGGATGTGAACCATTTTTGCTTCAAGCTTTTTTTTTTTTTTCCTTTCTGCTTAGGAGAGAGAGAGAGAGAGAGAGAGAGAGAGAGAGAGAGAGAGAGAGAGAGAGAGAGAGTGAGCTCCCATTCCTTGCCAGATACATGTGAACGTGAATGTTCCAGGACCGGATTCATCCAAAGATGGAGATGAGAAAGGGAGGGGAGAAAGAGAGGACACAAAGAGTGGAGGGATCCCAAGTCCCCATCGACCCCACTGCACAATGGTACAAGACAGATCAGAGTTAGGTTGGTGTGTGTGCGTGCCTGCGTGCGTGTGATATTGGTCTCTAAACACTAAAATCACCCAAGAATATTGGCCTCTAAACACTAAAATCATTAAAAAAAATATTGACCTCTAAACACTAAAATCATCCAAGAAAGGCAAAGAGCATATTTATCCAGTTCATCGCTACCTGGAAGTTCCTTATTCTGACAGATGTTCCAGGTACCCGTTAGTCACATGACCCAGGCACAGGGACTCTACTCTGCCTGCTCATCCCTCTGTCCTCATTATGCATTGCCCATCTCTGCTCTGCTTCACCATCCCACCGTGGGAAGGGCCGACCCTCTTCCTGCCTGACTACCAAAGACCCTTAGCATCAAA